GAATAAGTGACAACAAATCCCACCATTATAATTATAATGCACTAAAAACTGTGGGGAGGGCTGGGGATGTAAGTCATTTGGTAGAGTGCTTGCCACGCATGCACAAGGCCCTGGGTTTAATCCCCAGCATGGGGGTGGGAGTGGGGGGAAGGTGGGCACACAGAACTGTTGGGGGAGGGGAGAAAGGCCTGTATGAAAAACTTGATTAACATCACATTTAATGCTCTGGGGTTGTAGCTCAGTGATAGAATGCTTGCCTCGCATGCAGAGGGTACTGGGTTCCATCCTCAGCACTATAGAAAAATAAAATAAAGGTATTGTGTCCATCTACAACTAAAATATATATTTTTTAAAAATCACATTTAATGTTGAAAAGCTGAATACTTTCCCCCTGCGGGGTTTCAGCAGCTGCGGATCCCTCAGCTCCCACTCCATAAGTTATTTCAAAACCTCGGCGTCTTGGTGGTCCCGCCAGGATGCCCAGTATAATAGGAGCGGGAGGACTGGGTCAGAAGCACACCACGCTTCAAGAGCCACGCAGAAGTACGCAGGGAACCTGCGGACTCAGCGCGACTCCCACAACCAGAAAGCTCGGCCAACGAGGGGGATAGGCACATCTACCCATGCCCCCACTGACTGGTAGAACTCTCTGGGGAGGCAGTCACCCACAAGACACCTCACACCTGGGATGAGCCTGCAGGATTTTTATTTTATTCGGTGGGTTTTATTTCCAATCCGAGTTGTAACTGACATCGCCTTTGGCCAATCACAGGCTGTCTTGGGCAGGAGGGTAAATAGGGTTGACCTGGGACTACCTGGTTCTCACCCTCTTCAGGTGATTTCAGGCGAAGAATTGGGACCTGAGGCGCCTTCAACTTCGAGAAGAGGACCTGTGCTACAGACAGATCCTAGCGCAAGCGCAGTAGCAGGAAGCTGGTGAATGACGTGATGGAACACCAGAAGGCCTATCTGGAAGGGGAGTTGGCCTTGACCTCAGCATGGCCTTGAAAACCAGGCTGTGCAGGGAAGACTTTCTCCTTCCCCATTCTCTGGCTCCACCTCACAACCTTTTAGGAGCCTGACTCTGCGTCAGAATCAGAAGCTGCCTTTCCTCCTCTCAGACCTGGAGCGGTCTCACCTCTGCCCAGAACCAGAACTGGAGTAGATTATCCCAGATCCCTGCATCCAAGCCGGTGTCTAGGTTTTGTGCTCCATCCCTGCTACCAAATTCTCCTATCCAGTCCCAGGGTGGCCACATGATTCCTGCACAAATGGTCTACAGGAAGGAAACCAAACTCCCTAAATTTTCTCTTACCCTTTTCAGACCCCCTAAATATGCATGATCCACCACCTCTCTGATCTCCACCTTGCAGAGATTACCTGACCTATCAGTGGCTTGGGGAGAATCAGTTATAGGACATGGAGCTTGTGGAGATCAGGCCTGCAGGAGATGGAACCTTCCAGTAATGGGCGGTTATGGTGGTACAGATATACATGTGCCATGTGCAGCACATATATCTGAGCCCCTCACCCTAATGGGGTAAAGCGGATGAGGGCACAGAGCCTATTGTCAGGGAAAGAAAGAGGCATTCTGGAGACCATCAGCAGGGTCAGAGTTTGGAGGGGCGTCAAGCCCCCTCATTGACCTTCCCAGAGCTGTCTCCTTAGCTCACCATCCCCACCATAGCAATCATCATTGATGTGATTCTCCTTGAACATTTGGTTCCTGCAGTTGTGCTCTGAAACATAAACTCCATGAATCCAGAAGTATCTTCCTCAGACACACACCTCCCATATCTGCATAAGAATAGATATTGGTCCTGCCCATTACCACCTAACCTCACTGCTCATACCCCAAGCTTATGGTCTCTTCCCTTTATACAAACATTCCTTGTCCATGGGAGAAGGAGCTGGAAAGTCTAACTTCTGCCATTGCTCTGCACTGCATTGACTTTTGTGACTTTAAAGTTGCAATTTATTTCCTGAAATAATAAATCAATGTATACTTAAAAGTAGTATTTTTCCTAAATCTTTGTAGTTGATGTTACTGGTTTACAGGATGGAGAAAATTTCCTTAATATTTGAAAGGTGAGCGCAGCTGGAAACCTGGGTAGAGGTAGAGGAGCAGTTTAAAAGATGCTTGGCAGCCAGTGCTCAAAAATATTGATTTGGGCTTGGCCATTACCCAGCCATGTCATCTCTACGACTTCATTGTGCTTACCCCTGCAGAAGGGCCTTGTCCCATGAAGATACATGATCAGAGGCTGATTTGAGGTTGATCCTGTCTCTAGAACCTCAGCACTGAGGGTGGGACCAGGTATAGCCAGTCCTGACTCAGGCCTAGATTAATTTTCTAAGGTAGTTCTTTCCATGTTTTTCCATACATTTTAAAAATAGCCATATTTTTGCAATCAGCATAAAGATTAGATTTATTGTTTCTTGGGAATAATATTGCATTGCATGGATGCTTCTTGGTTCATTTCACCTGATCCCAACTGACATTTACTTGGGCTGTTGGCAACATTTTGCTATGACAAGCAGAACTAGGATGGCTAACCTTGTTCTAGACCCAACTCCATTACTTATTAACTTAGTGACACTGGACTATTTCATCTCTTTGACAATGTTTTTAGGATCTATCTGTAAACTATGTGTAAGTCTAATTCAGGGCTTCAGATTGCCATAGATTATTCTCATAAAACATTTTATTTACCATTTTCTTATTTATCATCACTTAGTGTTACCGCTCTTTACCCGTGATGAGTCCTTGCTTCCCCAATGTTGAAGTATAACACCAGAGAAGCATGCGGAGGCAAGGTCAGAGTGAAAATTAGAAGTTTATTAAAGGACAGCAGAAAAGACTTCTCCCAGAGAAGAAGGGGACCCAAGAGGTGGAATCCGTGGAAGGAAAGTTGTCTCCCCTTTTTATAGCTAAGGCCTTCTTTAGCCTTCCCGCATTCCTGTCACATTCCTGTCCTTTGTTCTGTCAAGGGTGGGGCACAGGTGGACCAAAGGAATAACCTGGGCAGGAAGGACTTTTGGGTCAGCATCTTCAAGTTTGCTGGGAGCTGTTTCATTAACACTTCTTTGGGATGGGCTCTGGGCCTTGGGGACATTAACATGAATTGTCCTGCTTTTCCCGGACTTCATTCTCAACATGGCCTCCATTTTGGATCTTACTGGATATTAGACCTGATTTACCTAACTACACTGACTACCTATTTTTAAATCTGGCTTCACTAGTTTGTTTCTACAATATATTACCATGTATATCTGTGTTAATCATCTTTCCATCACTATAACAAATACTCACGATTATTAACCTATAAAAAAAGAATGTAAAGAGAGAGAGAGAAGGTTTATTTTGACTCTGTTTTGTAGGTTCTAGTCCATGATCATTGGGACTCATTGCCTTTGGTCCTGTGGTGAGGCAGTACATAATGAATGGTAGGAACACATGACATAGCAAAACTACTCACTTTCCTCATGACCAGGGAGCAAAGAGAGATGCAGAGAAGGGGACATGTTCCCCAGTGAGCTAAAGATTTTCCACTAGGCCCCATGCCCTAAAAGTTTACCACCTACCAATAACCCTGCCTGAGGGACCTTTAATATATGAGCCTTGCAGGGGATACTTATCCAACTGTAATACTTTGGGATTTTTGTTTGTTATATATTTATTTGGGGTTTTTCTTTTGTTATGCTCCAATTCAGGACACCCAAAAGACCACCAGAGACCAAGATCAATGTAAGCAGCAAAGAGGTGTTTATTTTGAGCTTTCTCGGTACTCCACGTGCACACAGCAACTGGTGATGTTATGCTGGAATTCAGGACCCCCAAAAGACCACCAGAGACCAAGATCCACGTAAACAGAAAAGAGGTGTTTATTTCAAGCTTTCTCAGTACTCCACATGCACACAGCAACTGGTGACGCTGAGAGCCCCCGAGCCCAGGGTTTGCAGTAGTTTTATACATTCTTTGGAGAAGGCAGGGACTTCACATACATCATAGCATCTCTTAGCAAATCATCACACACCGCGGGAAAAATCATAAAACAATTCTAAAACATGATTAGCACATTCACTGGCAGGAACAAGTTGGGTAGGGGTGATTGGTTACTACAAGAGGGGGATTCCTTTGAACTGATTGGCTTAAGTCAAGAGGGCAGTAATGCTGAACTACAAGGTTTCCCAACACGTTATCAACCACCATAAACTACTGGGAGGGTCATCTGGGATCCCAGGTATTTTCCCTGTCTCATGCTGATTGGTGGCTGCTAGGGGGTTGCTAAGGGTTCCCACCTAGCCTGACTGAGTCAGGGACACCTGGTGCAGCAGATCTCTCCTGTTATTTGTAGATAAACAAGGGTATGTGCCTAGGAGTGCTCTGTGGGTCTTTCCAAGGACAAGGGTCATGCCCCCTTCCTTGGACAGGCTTTGCTCTGAGATAGAGACTGGTTTTTCAGTTTTGGTTTGGGATTTTCTTTTTTCTTTTTGGTACTGGGAAATGGGTGCTTTACCACTGAGCTGCATTCCCAGCCCTTTTTATTTTTCTTTTCTTTTCTTTTTTTTTTTAAAGAGAGAGAGTGTGAGTGTGAGAGAGAGAGAATTTTTTGTTTAATATTTATTTTTTAGTTTTCGGCGGACACAACATCTTTGTCTGTATGTGGAACTGAGGATCGAACCCGGGCCGCACGCATGCCAGGCGAGCGCGCTACCACTTGAGCCACATCCCCAGCCCCCCTTTTTATTTTTCATTTTGAGATAGGTCTCACACAATTGCTGAGGGTCTCACTAAGTTGCTGAGACTGGCCTCAAACTTGTGATTCTTCTGCCTCAGCCTCCTAAATCACTAGGATTATAAATTTGCACCACATCACACAGCCCCAACCATAAAACTCTAAAATAGAATCCCCTCATGGGGGCCAGGACCTGTCCTAGAGAGCACCAGGAGTATGCTGGCTGCAGGCTCAGGCTCAGCCCCTCCCTTTCTCCTCAGGATGATCACAGATATACAGCTTGCCATCTTGGCCAACATACTGGGTGTGTTGCTCTTTTTTTATTTTTAATATTTATTTTTTAGTTATCGGCGGACACAACATCTTTGTTTGTATAAGGTGCTGAGGATCGAACCCAGCGCCCGCGCATGCCAGGCAAGCGCGTTACCACTTGAGCCACATCCCCAGTCCATGTGTTGCTCTTCTTGTTTGTGGTTCTCTATCACTATGTAGCTGTCAATAATCCCAAAAAGAAGCAATGAAAGTGGCACTTTTGAAGGCAGAATTAGACAGGCAGTCAGTATAAGTAGGTAAATCGAGTCAGGTCAGATTAAGGAGGCCAATTTTGAGTGAGTCTGGGAATTTGAAGACTGTCCCCTAAGGGATTGAAATGTTAATTCCTTCACAGCCCTTCCTCCACCCTTATGGAACCTGCCCCAGCTCCAACCTTCCTGTTTCCCAACTTTTGGCCATCCCACTGAGCATTCCTAGGAAAGAGAGAGAAAAGGAGAGGAAGGCTAGAGAACAAAAGAAGCCTAGGACATATAAAAAGAGCAGAACACCTTGCTTCCTGGATTACCAGGATACCAGCTATGGCCCCCTTCTCCCTCCCAGGAGAAGTCTATGTTACCCCTTTTTTAATAACTTTGCTTTATATGCTTGCCTTGGCATGCTTCTCTAATGTTCAAACTTCAATATGTGAGGGAGCAGAACTTTCTCCACCCCAGGGTTCCAGGACATAGTTTGAGGCAAAAATGGAGGTTGTGAGCGGCCTTCACACTTCACTTCATCCCTTCTACCCACCGAAACATGCAAAGCAACTACACCTGGATTTTTCCTAACAACCTCTCTTTCCTTAAAGTCTTCCTTAACCCTGTGGAACAAGAAGTACCAGTGAACAGGACCCAGTAAAGGGGATGCTTTTCTACTACCCCCCCAAACACATGTAACCACTGGTTACCGGTGACAATGAGTTCCCTTCCCCAGATGTGAAGATTGAACACCCAGGAAAGGCTGAAGTTTTATTTATTTAATATGTAGTAACAGAGTTCACAGAGAAGGGGGGCCAGAGCTGGGTGCTCATAGGAGGGGGTGAATCTTGTCCTTTTTATAATTTCCAGGTTTCCTACTTCTAAAGGCCCCTCCCTTTATCCTGCCCATGCCATTCAGGGGGCGGGGCAGGAAGTGGGAGAGGGGCAATTCAGGGGAAGCCACCCAGGGAACACCCATTAATAATTCCCTGCTGGAGGGAACAATCTCCCCAGAGGCAGGTGACTTTTTGGTTGTTGGTTAGGGGTGGGGGAACTGTCTGGAAGGTATGAACATTCCAATCCCCCAGAAGTGGGTGACTTTGGCCTTGAGTGAGGGGGATGTGTCCTGAAGGTATCGACATTCCATTTCTCTTTGAACAAGCTTCAGTCTTCCAGACCTGACATGATTCATCTATCTACCCCAATTGCCTGACCTTTGTTCTTGTTTTACAAAGATATAGATATATTTTTTAAAAATATTTTTTTTAGTTTTCAATGGGCCTTTATTTATTGATATGTGGTGCTGAGAGTCGAACCCAGTGCCTCACACATGCTAGGCAAGCACTCTGCCACTGAGCCACAACCCCAGTCCATAGATATATATATATTTTTTAAATCATCTCTTCTGGGCTGGGGATATGGCTCAAGCGGAAGCGCGCTCTCCTGGCATGTGAGCGGCCCGGGTTCGATCCTCAGCACCACATACAAAGATGTTGTGTCCGCCAAAAACTAAAAAATAAATATTAAAAATTCTCTCTGTCTCTCTCTCTCTAAAAAAAAAAAAAATGGACCTATTAGAGTGGGCCTCTAAACTATGTGACCACGAGAACAAAGTGGGTTGTAGGTTTTTGTGTGTGGAAATTCCCTTAGGAAAGCCAAACTTCCTTCAGTTTAAAGGGTTAAATATTAAAGATCCTCCCTGTCCATGTGCCTGCGATGACGTTCGCACATTTGGATGGTACAATTAAATGATGCTGACTTCTCCCTGGGTTGGGCTTATTCCAGAGAACTTTGAGTCATTCACTTATCTCAAGGCTGACACTCCATCCCTCAGGGATCTGGCTAGTCCTTGGGAGAATGACGTGTCCTTAAGAGAATATGTAGGTCCTGCAGGTTATAGAAAGAAGCTTTCTTTGTTTTAACTTGTATTTAAGGAACCCCACTGGGTATAAGACTTTGGAGTATCACCCTTGAAGAAGGTGTTCTGTCCTCCTGGGACTTCCCAGTTAGGACCCTGAAAAGCTTCCCTGGGTCTCCCCAGTTATATGACTTCAGCTGTTTCCCCTGATCCAGTGACGTATTTTTCTGGTCTTTACATCTCAACTATCATTTTTGTTATTGCTTTTGTTTTCGTATTACTACTAAATAAATGCTGTCTCTTACCAAGAAAAAAAAAATGTCTCTTGTCTATCGGATCTTGTTACCGCTGTTGACCAGTGACGAGTTCTTGCTTCCCCATGTTGAAGAATAACACCAAAGAAGCACACCAAGGCAAGGCCAGAGTAGAGATTAGAAGTTTATTAAAGGACAGCAGAAAAGACTTCTCCCGGAGGAAGAAGGGGACCCAAGAGGTGGAATCCGTGGAAGGGCTGTTGTCTCCCCTTTTTATAGTTTTGGTGATGGAATGTAGGTTGGAAGGCCTGAGGGGTGGGACACTTCTTTGTGATGGGCTATCTTTAAGTTTGCTGGGGGCTGTTCATTAACACTTCTTTGAGGTGGACTTTGGCTTAGGGCCTCTTCGGGACTTCATTAACATTCCATGAGTTGTCCTGTGTTTTCCCTGAGTCATTCTCAGCATGGCCTCAATTTTAGATTTCACTCGATATTAGACCCAACCTATCTACACGACTACCTAACTTTAAATCTGGCTTCAATCTGACCTGTACAGCAGCTGCACAAATATATGACACTAACATTACCTGCACTTCTCTATACTCCCCAGGAATACACCAGGGTTCTACATTTGCCCTTGTGCTCACCAGTGTTATGCTCGAATTCGGGACCCCCAAAAGACCACCAGAGACCAAGATCGATGTAAGCAGCAAAGAGGTGTTTATAGAGAGCTAGCTCGGTCCTCCACGTGCACACAGCAACTGGTGACGAAGAGAAGCCCCAAGCCCAGGGTTTGCAGCAGTTTTATACACTCTTTGGGGAACAGGGACTTCACATACATCATATCATCTTGTAGCAAATCATCACACACTGTGGGAAAATCATAAAACAACTCTAGGGCTGGGGATGTGGCTCAAGCGGTAGCGTGCTCGCCTGGCATGCGTGCAACCCGGGTTCAATCCTCAGCACCACATACCAACAAGGTTGTTGTGTCCACTGAAAACTAAAAAAAAAAAATAAATAAATAAAATAAATATTAAAAATTCTCTCTCCTCTCTCTCTCTCTCTCTCTCTCTCTCTCTCTCTCTCTCTCTCTCTCTCTCTCCCCTCTCTCTTTAAAAAATTTAAAAAAAAAAAAACAACTCTAAAACATGATTAGCACATTCACTGGCAGGAACAAGTTGGGTAAGGGTGATTGGTTAGTACAAGAGGGAGGTTCCTTTGAACTGATTGGTTTAAGCCACAAAGGGAGTACTGCTGAACTACATGGTTTCCCAACATGTTATCAACCACCATAAACTACTGGAAGGGTCATCTGGCACCCTGTCTCATGCTGAGTGGTGGTTGTTAGGGGGTTGCTATGGGTCCTCACCTAGCCTGACTGAGTCAGGGACACCTGGTGCAGCAGATCTCTCCTGTTATTTGTAGATAAACAACTCAGCAGGGTGAGAATGTGCCTAGGAGTGCTCTGTGGGTCTTTCCAAGGACAAGGGTCACAACCCTTCCTTGGACAGGCTTTACTCTGAGGTAGAGGCTGGTTTTTCACCAGTTGTTTAATTTTTGACAGGATCTTTCAACTGTCAATTGTTTCCCTTGGCTGTGTTAACTTGCATGTCTCTGATTACCCGTGATGCTATGCGACAATTCAGATAATCTAGCATTCATTTTCTTCCTCTTTCACTTGCTTGTTCAGATGATTTCCTAGTTTTCCACTGATTTCATGTATTATTTTTTATTTATTTGTAGGGTGTATAGACTGGATGTTTGTGTTTTCCCAAAATTCATATGCTAAAGCCATAACCCACCATGTGATGATCTTTAGAGGTGAACCTTTGGAGGTAATTGGAGTTAGGATGTGGTCTTGGCGGGGGCATGATGAGATTTGTGTTCTTATAAGAGGAAGAGGGAGCAGAGCACTTCCTCCCCACATCCTCTGCCACAGGAGAACCAAGAGGGCACCTAGGAAGGGGCCCTCACAAGGACCTGCATCTGCTGACACCTTAATCTTGGACTTCCTACCTTCAGAACTGAAATAAATAAATGACTGTTTTTTAAGCCACCCAGTCTATGGTACTTTTCAAAGCAACCTGAGTTAAGACTCAGGATTGTTTTGTCATTGTTTGTTTGTTTCTCCGACAATGGAAAATAATTCTGTTGGAGTTTCACTTGGTACATTTGTGTTTTTAATCCATTTGATGTTGATTTCTGCAGGTGACCTAGATGATCTGCTAGTTACTAGGCTTGAGTGATTTCCCTTATCTACAAGCCTTTCTTGAGTTCTCTCATCTGCCTTATCCTGGAGCTTCTCAGGAAGCCAAAGCCACAGCCCCAGGAAGTGGTTAGTGGCAATTTCTTTCAGGGTAGGGCCTGGCTTCAAGACAGTGCCTGAAGTGCAGCCCACAGAAGTGTCAGCTCCTCTCACAGCTTTCTTCACTGTCTGGATCTTGGCATATCCAAATTAATAATCTTGGTGATTATTTTGTCCTTGAACTCACCTACGAGTTTACTCTTTTACATTTTTTAAAATTATATATATATACACACACATATATTTTATACATATTACTTATATATACATACATATATTTAGTTGAAGATGGACATGATACCTTTATTTTATTTTATTTTTCTTTTTTGTGGTGCAGAGGATGGAACTCAGTGCCTCATGTGTGCTAGCGAAGACATATTTAAAGATAGGTAGTTAGTGTAGTTAGGCCATGTTGAGAATGGAGTCCGGGAAAAGCAGAACAACTCTTGGAATGTTTATGTCCCCAAGGCCCAGAGCCCATCCCAAAGAAAAGTTAAGGAAACAGCTCCCAGCAAAGATGGAGGTACTAACCCAAAAGTCCTTCCTGCCCAGATTACTCCTTTGGCCCGTCTGTGCCCCACCCTTTGGGCCT